CTCTTACCTGTACTACACAACACTTACCTTTACTATACAACACTTACCTGTACTATATTACTCTTGAATATACAGGTACATCTAAAAAAATTAGAATACCATGAACAATGTCAATATTTTTTGTCACTCAGAAAGTGAAACCCATGTATTATATAGATTCATTACACATAGAGTGAAATATTTCAAGCCTTTATTTCTTGAAATTTTGATGATTATGGCTTACAGATAATGAAAACCCAAAATTCAGTGTCTCAGAAAATTAGAATATTGTGAAAAAGTTCAATATTGGAAAGTCATGGTGTCACACCCTAATCAGCTAATTACCTCAAAACACCTGCTCATCAAAATTTCAAGAAATAAAGGCTTGAAATATTTCACTCTATGTGTAATGAATCTATATAATATATGGGTTTCACTTTCTGAAATGAGTGACAAAAAATATCGACCTTTTTCATGATATTCTAATTTTTTGAGATGTACCTGTACTCTACAACTCTTACCTGTACTACACAACACTTAGCTCTCTCAGAAGTGAAAACTACTGCTGCAGTGAAATACTTTTCTCCTACAACACTTACCTGCTTTCTGACACAAGTAACTGCTCATTGTAATCCTTACCTGTGATTGAATCACTCACAGACTTTTCAGCAGCACATCTCTGACTCTGCAGCAACATTTCTGGAGGATCCTACAGCAAAATGAAAACGTGCAAATTGATAAATACATCGAATAAAATAAGTGGTTTGCTGCTGTGTGTTTTATACTACAATAATTTCACTATATTTTCATTAATAAAGTCCCCAAAACACTGTTTTGTGTGTGTGTGTGTGTGTGTGTGTGTGTGTGTGTTTACTGTGTTAATAGCAAGATGCTGAGCGCCACCTTGCGTCTGTATCATCATACTGCAACGTATTTTAATCACAACCTATATTACATTTCTATTGATGCAGCCATGTCAGATCACAAGCAACAAAAAGTTTTGTATGGAAGTGAAATTATCTGAAAATGTTTTTTAAAAAGTATAAATAGCAGAAGTTAATGGTCTAGCTTTGCATCCTCGGGTGTCATGGAAACAAATCTACATAATAATAATTCGGTTCAGACGGAAAGCGCCATTAACGATTAAAATTACTGATATGCAGATGTGCATTAACGCAATATGAAAACGTTAGATTAGTAACGAGCTTCTCATCGACTCACCAGCAGCTGCAGATATGAAAACAGATGAAGAAAGCGACGCAGCACAAGATTAACCGCCGATCATTCAGTTCAAACATCGCACTCTGTGACGACATAAGCCGCTCATAGAACGTTCACGCTACGCGTTCTGCTCGATTTACTCATTCATTAAACAGTGAGGAAATCCAACACATAGGCTACATAAAACACTTCCTGTTCCCCGAAAGTAAAAAAGACCCACTACACAAAACCGATATAAACATCCTTCTAAGTTCAAAAATTCAAGTGTACAATGCGATTGTCACTCCTGGTATGAGAATAAAGAACATATTTATGTGTGTGAAGGCTCATGTTGCATGTTTTCTAGTTGATATTATATAGGTGAATTTAAAATAGAAAGTTTTAATGCTTTAGACTGTTTCCCACAGAATCAGAAACTATGATAGAGCTGAATCTCTTTGTTGTTGTTGTGAAGTTGAAAGTTATTGATCTGTGTGTTTATAGGCTACCAGACGTTACATAGCATTCACATGTGAAGTTGATGTGAACATAATGTGTCTGATGTTATGTATCATTTTAGACAAGTAGCTGAAATGTTGCTGGTGAGAGTCAGACGTTTTAACTTTTTAGACTAGATTATAATATAATGTAGAAAAGAAAGAAATTAAAGTTTAAATATAGGTTATTGTGTCTCCTAACACATTTTAAAATTTTGAAACTTGCAGTGGATATATATATATATATATATATATACAGTGTATGATCCATATGGACTATTTATATGATATATATAATGGCAATTTTATGATGCATAAAAAAATCCTTGTTATTGGACACCTTCGCATACGGAATAAAATTGATTTTAAAGCTGCATCCACACCGTAAGTCAGCACGACATATAGGCTATAAAGTTACTTAGTGTATCTTTAATACATTTTGCTGTAGGCTAATTTTTATAAGAGTTGTGGCAGTGTGCCATATTTTACGAGATACAAATGTCAATATCTTCTGCTGTTTTGTCATATAAATACATACTTCTAAATAAATAAATAAATAAATAAATAAATGTATTAGTATCATTGATGCTACTATTTATACAAATTCCACATGAGAAACTGTATAGCATGCATTGAACGTTGTTTAGTTAACACCGATTTAACTCATTTACAGATAAATAAACTCACGATGTAAAAAACACATACCATATAGAGCAACTTGTAAAGCAGAGAACAGAAAGTGAAAATTAAAGGTCATGTGGCTTAAAAACAGCATATTTTTATATTTAAAAAACTGCCCTTTACTTTCCAACAGTGCATTATTTTGTCGTTTTTTTTCTGAAGTGAAGGGAAGTGTTTAATCCCGTGTTAAAAAAAAAAAATATATATATATATATATAACTACGGTATAAGATAAATAAACTAACAACATATATAACTACGGTATAAGATAAATAAACTAACAACAGCAAAAATGACATAAGTATATAAAATGACCACTAGATGGCAGCATATAAAAGGGTTTCGGGGGTCACCACCGCAAAACGCAACAAAATAAAAAGCAATGAACAGACGGTTGTGTCCTGCAAAGTCAAGTGTATTTACATTTTCAGTGTATTTAGTTTCGTATGAGCAAGGGTCCTTTAAGGCCTGTCAAAAAATTAAGCATTTTCCACTGTAAAGCACCGCAAGTAGCCTACAAGCAGAACAATTCAGCTGTTGCTGAGCTCCATCATGTTATCATTGTTAATGCAGCTCAGTTCACTTGTTTATTAATTTTTTAATGCCCACTGGCTTGCTCATGGCAGCAAATTTCACTTTAGGGACATTTAGGGACATCTGTAATGACAGACAAAATACGCTCCACATTAAAAATAACAATAGGCTACTAATAATACAATAATAACATAATTGCAAATAGCCACTAATTAATACGATTTTCGATCTAGTAACAGTTAGTCACTAGACAATTATAGCTGGACTTTCTTTTTGGTCATTCTTTAAAAGAAGAAATAAATTCAGAATTTATATATACAGTAGCATATTTTCCGATGGGAGACTTTTTCATCTAAAAAAAATAGGCTACTAACCTGTAAAATGTATACAGAAAATGCACAGTTAATATATGGAAAAAGTATCATGTGGACAGTAATACTCGCATCGAAAAGACAAACAAGGGCATAGGTCATGTGAAATTATCAACTGTATCTAAATTATGAATAACCTTCATGTGGACATGCAAAGTCCCTGTGGCTTTAATGCGGAACCGAGGGAGAGGCTGCGCGTTGACAATCCCTCCCTCCCCTTCCACTGTGAATTCTGTCCGAACTCTAGCGCGAGGAGAAAACAGCTTCTGCACTGCTCAGCTTCACACGGACACTAAAATGTATCATCTGCCGTCTGCTAACCACAACAGCAGAGATTTCCAACGGGATATAAAGTGCTGCATCATGTTTTGGGATAATTTGGCATCTGAGCATTAAATATTGTTATCACATTTCATCAAGTGTCGTGTTGACTGAAATCCGCGCGAGTGTTAGGAATATCACTGACAGGTAAGGCAATGTGAGAAAGTTAAACCTTTTAAGCGTACAACATTTTTTCAGAAAGTAAGTAGAAACATAAGCAAATAAACTGCAGAAGTGTATTTCCTCTTGAAACTTGGGTTTGTGCGGTTAGGAAACAGTCGCTACAAATCTCGAGAAGTTTAAAACATTCACAAAACAATCACGTTTCGTTAAAAAGTGAAGAGCGTTTTCAGAACGCTGGACAGCGAACGAGCGTTCCGTTCTCGAGCGTTTGCTCAGCCGTCCGGTAACGCAGCAGGACGCTCGGGGATGTCCGCTGTCTTTCTTGTTTCCTCTCATTAAGCTCAATTAGTCGACAAGAACTCGAAAAAAGAGACTAGAAATAATATAAAAGCAAAATAAATGTGCATGACCATATAATGTAATGTCATATGCTTTTTATTATCACCCTCATAATGTGCAAAGCTGACTCTTTTTTTCTTAAATGACTCCTACATTGGTTCTTTGAGCATGATTCATATATAGAAATATAGAAATCCACTAATCTGCACCTTCATGTGTGCTTGGCAGGTGCTGAAAATGGCAACCAGATACCTGATGCTTATTGCCTTGGGGACTGCAGTGATTGGCAGTGCACGCGGTTGCCCTGAGCAGTGCAAATGCACCGGTAAAGTAAGCCTCCAGCTTACAGATTGTGCCTACAAAGACCTTCTGGAAGTACCCGAGGGCTTGCCGTCCAATGTGACCACCCTGAGTCTTTCAGCTAACAAGATTAAAGTGCTGAAGTCCAAAAACTTTATAAATGTGACCCAGGTGACCTCTCTTTGGCTGGCTCACAATGAAATCGTCACTGTTGAGAGGGGCACCTTTGCGCCGTTGATTCAGCTGAAAAATTTGGATATTAGCCACAACAAAATCGTGCATTTTCCATGGGAAGACTTGACCAATCTCACTGCTCTGCATTTGTTAAAGATGAACAATAATGACATGGTCAGTATCCCCAAGGATACTTTTTCCAAACTGAAGGAACTGCGTTCGGTCCGTATTAACAATAACAAGTTTACCACCATCGTGCAGGGAACGTTTGATGCTTTGATTTCCATGTCTCATCTCCAAATCTTCCACAACCCCTTCACCTGCTCCTGCAACCTTGAGTGGCTCAGGGACTGGATCAACAAATCATCAATCTCCATCCCTGAGCAAAACAACATTGTCTGCGATGCTCCATCCCACCTCAAAGGTACTCAGGTCACTAGCATGCCCAAACTGGACTGCAAGGCCCCGTCTGTGTCCATCACATATCAGCCAAACATCGAAAAAAACGAACTCAATGAGGGATATATGGTCATGCTTTACTGCGAAACAAAAGGAACCCCTAAACCTGAGGTCACATGGGAGATATATGCTGGAAACCAACTAATTACATTCCCTTTGCCGGCCATTGTTGAAAAAATTGAGATTCCAATTAACGGACCACCTACGAACGCCAGGTTCCTTGTGTTTCAAAACGGCAGTTGATTATGAAGATGCAAAACCCAGATCAGATGGAAAAGCAAATCTCGACGGATTTCGACCCCAGGGCGTCTTTTGTGGGATCCGAGAAGAACTTCAACCCGAGTGAGCTGGAAGAGGGAGAAGGCGAGGCTGATGGCGGGGAGGGGGACGGAGAAGGTGAGGACGTCGAGGGCAGCGTGGTAACCGAGTCCATTCCCGAGTCACAATCCAAAACGCAGGAGGAGTTTGAAGTTGGATCCGAGTACAGCGATCGGTTGCCGCTCGGGGCTGAAGCGGTAAACATATCTGCGGAGATCAACGGTAATTACAAACAACCCCGCTGAGATGCCTGTTGTCCGTTCGCTCTGAAACACAATACAAACTAGGTGAATACGGACTGTTATCTCACGTAATACAGACGCATTTTACCTCAGTAAATTAGCAGTAAGTGCATACGATGAGTGTTCATGATTATAAACAGGGGTTTTGAGATTTATCGAGTGGACTAGACTTAAATGGACAAACCTATCTTCAAAAAACCTCATAAAACTATTCACTTTCCGTAAGTCTCGTCACTTTAGCATAACCGTAAACGTACGTAGTCTCAAGTAGCATCCATTAAAAGTAATCGAAGTGCATATTGTATAGTGGACATCAAGCGCTTCTGAGGGGAAAAAACACCCTCTTTCCACCGCATGTGTGTGTCTGGAAAACCAGCCAGGTCACCTTGAAAGAAAAAGAAAAAAAAAGATTTGTTAAGTGTAATGTGGGATCCCAAAATGTGTGATTTTTAATCTTTTTGCGAACGGGTGCTTTAAAAATATCTCTCGCCTTTATGAACTGACTGATGTCCTTTCTTCTCTTTGAGATAGCCTTCTTGTTCGTGGCATGTCACACTCAAGTATTTTAGTGTGTTTTATTAGGATGCTATAGACTGTAGATATTAAATGTCGATTTGTGGTGTAAGCCAAGTAACCTGAGAAGATGTTCTCTCTTTTTTATATAAATATAAATGGTCCGTTTTTGCCATCAGTCAAAGCGACATCGAGTGTCCAGTAAATTGACGCATAGTGGTTTGTTTCATGTCCAACTGTCCAATGATGTTGTAAAAATACTCAAACATTTGAAAGATTTTGATATGATTTTATGTACGTGACCTTAATAAAATATTGAACGAACAAATGTATTGGACATTGTTTGCAGACACAGAAAAGTGTTTTTATAAATGTGGACAATCTCCAGCATAAACCACACAGTTCAGCAGCTATGAAAAATCATAAATAATTTGAAGTCCGTGCGCTGGATATTGAACGCTGGCTACGCGAGACGCCGCCTGAAAAGAGCTCAAACACTCGAACAGATATGTTTTTTGCTTTGATTTTAATTAGCAAAATTAACAAAGACCCGAGTAAAGTATGATTCATTTAGCTTTTTGTTTTTCTGAAACGAATATTTCAAAACAAATATATAACTAGTCTGAATATGGGATATTTATTGAACATTTAAATTCAGGAAATTATTTGTTTTTACATTTAGATACAATAAAATGTGTAATAGTGATTATTTTTCGTTATGCCTTGTAATGAATTCTTGAGAAAACTACAGTGTAGAACAAAGGACTGATGTGATTGCGGAACAATTGCGCTCTCTTAACATCTGCCTAGTTATTTATTTTAAATATTACTAATAACCCCACGAATCAGCGAGTTTTTAAAATCGCTGCACGGAAAAAAAGATAATATTTCGTGAAAATACTTCGGATTTAAATGGTTTTCAATTGGTTTCATTAAAATATAAAATCATGCGTTTAAAACGCTTATTGTCACGTCTTTTACGCGACACAGGAGATGGCACTATTTCACTTAATACAATGAACATACTTTTATTTGTAATATTTATTTTATTTCAATCACAAATATGCCATAGGTAGCAGAACAAGACATAATAGAGGGAATATCAAAATTAAGTGTCAATGTAACAGTGAGACAGATTGTATTTATATTTTGTCAGAGATGAAAAACAATTGTAATACAATTACAGTAGATGTTGTCTTTATGAGAACAGACAAAGTGCAACAATGGACATTATTGGTTTCATCTATGATAATAACGTTCTCAGCACTGGTCACACCAATGAGTGCAAAAATGAAGATGCTGAGTGGAAATGAATAATTGGTCAATTTGCAAACGAGCAGAACCTGTACATTCATAAATAGTCACACATACTAACCTCGCATCAAGCGGTTAGATGGGAGTTCAGTGCCAAACTAAATTTCCTGATACACTAAGCCCAAGATGGAGAGACAGTCTCACTCACACATGCAACAAAAGACACAATACATCCATCCATCCACACACATGTGCAAAGGATCCGTTAACTACAACTGCATGAACTTCTTCCTGAGGCACTGAGCTGTAAGTGCACTTAGCTAAAACACATGTGCTTCTCTATTACAAAACACACACACATATAACTTGCAGTTCAGTTTGATTCAGTAACCGCTTGCTATTCAAGTCATTGAATCAATCATTAGACTGACAGGATAAGTTATCTTTTTAAAAAGTCATCCTTTTATTAAAAGAACAGGCTCAAAAGAATGATAAAGTTTGCTTGTTTGCGCTGTACGTTTTTGATTCACAAAAAAAACCTCGGCTCATAAGAGTCATTTGTTTGGAAAAAGTGAACTGAACCAAAGACTATAGACTGAACTCCACTAGCGCGGTCTGTTTATGATTCATTGCAAAGAAACGGCTCATAAAGTCCTTCGTTTGTGATTTGGACTTCACCGGTGTAGTTATAGCCTATTTTTTTGTATTAACTAACCAACTGCATTAACTAACTAACTGAACCAAATCATGAGAATCATTTGTTGGGAAAACGGACTACACTGTTCGCGCTGTATAATTTTCCCTAAAAATTCACTAAAATGATTAATTTAAAAGAATCGACTCATAAGAGGTCATTCGTTTGGCGAAATGGACTCGACTTGTAGCACTGTCTGTATATGATTCACCTCAAAGAACCGACTCATAAGAGTCATTCGTTCGAGAATCGAACTACCCTGGTCGTGTGTATGTTTTGATTCAGTAAAATGAACCGATTTGCTTTTTAATAAGTCTTAAATAAATATTCCTTTAAAAAAAATGACATCTAAAATAAAGACACTTAATGCAAATAAATATTGTCCATATAAAAGAGCGCTACTTCATAATCATACAGCACAGTAACAGCAACACGAAACCACAGTATCACAGTTGGAACATATGGCAATGTGCAATTATGGAGAGTGTAAAAACTATGAGTCACACACACACACACACACACATATGAAACAGTCAATTACAGAGCTCAGTCTGTGTAACCTACCAGTTTTAACAATTCTCCATAGATAATAATATTGTATGAAAATACAAACGTGAAAATCAGATTCCTTGAGTTTTTGAATGCAAGCATCAGTACATCTGTAGGTGTAAAATAAACAAAAGACAGGGCTGTTTAATGTTGAATACACACCATCTGCTGCCTATCATCCGGCAAACCCCATCAAACGCTGACAGATCTGACTTTGACTTAAGACACACACGTACAGCTTGAATTCCATCTCCGCTCCGCTTTATGAAAGGAGATGAGCAATGTGAACTGTGAATGTACAGAGGATGTTCACACTATGGACTCTCTGTCTCTCTGACAGGTCTGATTGAGCAGCAGCAGGGCCGAGGTGAGTTACTGCACATCGGGGCCCAATTTATCCTGACAAATGTAATCATTGCGGGAACGCTCGCCTGCTGTGTGCAGGGCAACATGATGAATCAATTATTCCAAAAACAAGGCCAACCAACTGTCTGTGCAAATAGACATAAATCACCCAGGAGAAATCAAACATAGATCAATATGAATCTCGGCTTTGGTCAGAGATTCGACACAGATTATCTAACATCATTTTGCTCTGCTTTCTGTTTTGAAATGCATTGAAAGTAGATGAAATTAATCTGTTCCTTTTAAACTCTACTGCATAATGGGAGTTCAATCTGTTTGCGCCAATGTGGTGCACGGCAAGTTATAAATAATACTTTGTTCTATACCAATATTATAACAAAATGTATTATTGTATATAAAAAATAAAAGGTTATTTATTAATCATACATTTTTTAATATTTCATTTTTTTAAAAATAATTATGTTAATTAGCTGTGAATTATCCCTTACATATAGTACATATAATAACCATAATCCAGCACTTTTTATGCATGGTCAGTTAGAAATGATATTTTGTCATTTGACAATTATATAATAAAATGTATTAATTAAAACTATAAATTAATACATAAGTATAAAAAAATACTTTTTTTCCCTCTCATATAACAGGGTTATTAATTATTACACATATATATAATTTTATATATTGCTTTATTTTTATTAATGTATTATTTGTATAGTTATAAAATGTGTAATTTTATGGTAATTAGCTGTTATATTTTTTTTATATAAAACAACATTATAACAAAATGTATTACTTTATATAACAAAATATTTTGTACAATATTTTCTAGATATATAACTAGGTTATTAAGTCATTATTACAATTATTTGTGACATTTTATAATAATAATAATATTTTTTTTGTTAATAATTATGGTAATTTACTGTGAATTATCCCTTATATATAGTACATATAATAACCATAACGCAGCACTTGTTATGCATAGTTTGCAAATTGGTGCTCTCAATAGCGGTTGCAAAAATATAAAAAAATAATAAATTTAATATATGAATATTATATTTTATTATTATTTTTTTTATAATTAAAATTTTTATAATGTTTTTGATTTATTGAAATAATTATTGTGCCTGAAATGTCTGTTATCTTTTAGAAATATACTTTTTAACAACAACAAACCTTTCAAAACATCCTCATACCTATTTGAAATCAGCTCAATGCATCTTTATTTTCAACAGCTTGACTCACAGAAGGCCTGAAATCAAGTTCGGTTTCCACACACTCACTGATAAAGCTCACTGGACAAATTCAATGAGTGCAGCTTTAAAACAATAAACCACATCCTCAGTCAAGCGGCTCTGAATTAGTTCTGAAGACTAAAAGCTTTGAGTTTGAGACCAGACTCTGGAACAGGCTACTCTCCAACGAATAAATTTTCATCATATTGTTGTCATGAACTGAAGCAATAAAGAAACAAAAGCTCAGACCTTCTTCAGCATCTCTCATCCTCTGTGCAGAGACACTGTCCTGGCCTGAGGTTTGCAGCAGCAGCCCACAGAAGGCCTTCATCACAGGGTGAGACTGACTGACCTCGATCTTCAGGTAATGAGCGTAGCAGCGGTATCCTGCAGAGAGAAGCACAGCGCTGTGAGCCCAAACACGGAAGAGACAATCTACATACAAATAACAACCACTTCCAACAGCTGACACTACAGAGGGTTCTATTATCTCTGGTCGCAATCGAATTTCAGTGTGGCACTTTTATCAGAAATATCAGCATATAGTAGACGTACAGTTACATTTGATATTTATGTTTGTTAAACTACAAATCTAGCTTAAATCTGATTGGAGGGGTCTTGTTTGAAACCACAGAAATATATAAAAATTATATACAAATATAAAATATGTAAATATTGGATATAATTAAATATTTAAAATGAAAATAACATTTTTTTTATAAAATACAAAAATAGATTTTTATATTTTAAAAATGCAAAATAAATTATTAAATATAATATTGATGATATAAAGGGTGTTAATTTCATTTCATGACAGCAATACATTTGACTGTAATTTTACGGTAAATGAGTGCACCTTCATTGTTAATAGGGTATCTGAATGTAAATGAGTTGCTCTGTCCAGCAGTACCTGAGTCAAATGGCTCGATGTTGCGGTTGAGAAGGCTGATATCCAAGCGTCCTAAGTGGACTATATTGAAAAGGGCAGTGATGACTATCCTCCAAATACCCAGAATAACACCAACCATGACATTAATCAGGAAGAGCATGTAGCTGAGAAGAAACAGACTCCCTCTGTAAAGAAAAAAACAAAAGCACATCCAACCTCTGTGATTCCTCATACAAGCTTAAGGATGTATATATATATATATAGTACATTACTAAAATAAAGAAATGTTCCTGGCCTTCTTCAGTCAAAATAAAATAACTTTCTCCATCTATTTTTACTAACAATAAAGAATAATATTATATTAAATAAATAAAAATAAATATACAATTTATTATTCATTTATTTATTTATTACAGCACAAAATCAACCATATATATATATAGGAGGGATCAAATAAGAGTGATTATACAAAATGTATGTTATTTTTTATTTAATACTGACCTGAATAAGATATTTCACATAAAAGATGTTTACATATATAAAATAGAATTCATAAAAATGACCCCATTCAAAAGTTTAACTGTTCAGGACAAACAAAGGACTCATGAACAACTATCACAAAACAAAACAAAAAAACAAAAACAAAAAACAAAAACAACACAAGCGTATGTAAACTGTTGAACGGGGTAATTTTTATATTTTTTGTGGACTATATGTAAACATCTTTTATGTGAAATATCTTATTCAGGTCAGTACTAAATAAAAAATAACATGAATTTTGTATGATCCCTCTTATTTTGGTAAAATAATTAACATTTTGCAGATACTGCAAAGTTTATGTAAACTTTTAAGTAAACATTTAGAAAACAACTGTATTTATGTTTGTATGTGTATATATATGTATTTATATATATATCTATATCTCTCTATATATATATATATATATATATATATAATTAATATGATTAAGTAATTGTAAAAACATTATTAACAATTGTGTTGCAAAAATAAAAATGTTTACCATTTAATATGTGAAATGTCTGTTAATATGAAATTCTTTAGAAGTTTCATAACAATGTACAGAAAGTGGATGTGTGTTTATTGTTGGCTGGTCTTTCATGGCCTACCAGATCGTGAATGCACACTAACGTTAAAAGCAATAACCAGCAAGAGGCACAACAGATGTTTTGACTGTTGTAATATTATGTATAATTAGCACCTGTTGTTCAGATCTCTCGTCCCTGCGTCCTTCTTGATGAACAAGAACCTGGAAGTCACATGCTGGATCAGCACAGCCAGGAACAGCATCAACCAGAAGGGCCTTCAGCAGAGAGAACATGTGAGTGGGAAGCATCTAAAGAGGCACTTGTCTAAATGCTGGGCTTTATGGCTCATGAGGAGAGATGACTTGATAGTCGAGATTCGTGGCTCACAGTCACAGTCATCATCACCCGAGCCACGGTCCAGCAGAGCCAAGCCACTCACCACATTTTGCCGATGATGCGGAACAGCATGAGATTGGTTCCATACAGAATGGGGATGATGACGAGGAAGACAGCGAACAGAATGCAGATGAAGAACACCAGAGTCTGGATCACCATGCCTGGACACAGACACAATCACACATGCAGGAGTAACGAAATATGCTCATAATCACCTTTGCACTTGAAAAAACAAAAACAAAACATAAATAACATTATATTATTTAATGAGTAAAAAAAAACAATGAATGAAATAATGAAATGAAAATAAAATAATTAAAATAATTAATAAAAATAAAAATATGTATATATAATATACATTTATTTATTTAAATATTTAAAAAACACAAAACACACCAACTTTATTTTCTTAATACATGTTTCTGGTCTTTTTTAAAACTGTAAATATTATATTTTTTAAATAGAAAAAACAAATAAATATATTCATAGAAATAGAAAAAAGAAAAGAAAACAACAATATAATTAATAAATAAAAAAAGAAATTATTTATTTACTTGTTTATCCAACCTGTTTACCTTACCTCTTAAATATTCCTAAAAGTTCATCAGTGCACATTATTCTTCAGAATTTTTTTCATCAAAACATAACAACTTGCTCCATCTATGATGGATTTCTATTGTCTGCTAATGTACTAACAATAAATAATATATTTAATATAGATATAAAATAGAATGAAAATAAAAAATGTATAAAATAAAAAAATAAATAATATAAAATAAATGAAATACATTTATTTAATAAAAACAGCACAAAATCCACCTTATTTATTTTCTAAATAAATGTTCCTGGTGCACATTATTCTAAAGATTACGAAAAAAAAAAAAGAAAATATAATAACTTTCTCTATTCATGAAGAATTTTTATTGTCTGTTGATGTACCAACTGTAAATTATAATAATACATTTTAACAATATATTTTAAATAAGATTATTATAATATAACAATATATTTTAATTTATAAATAAAAATAAATGAACAACAAAATAATTAATAAATAAACAAATATTAAATATAATATAATATAATATATATTTAACAGAACAAACTCCTATTTACTTTCTTAATAAATATTCCTCATATCATCAATGCACATTATTCTAAAATGTATTTATTTATTTTAATTACAACATAATAATCTCCATCTATGATGGATTTTAAGGGAAACGTCCAGAAGAAGAAAAAATCCAGAATGATCTTGAACTGTTAAAAATTAATTCAAAAATAAATAAAAACAACTTTTGGTCAGTTTAAATGTTGTTTGTTGTTGTACACAAACTATTGTAAGTGTTAAAAAAAAGACATTTCAGAATGTCTTTCTCACACTTTTACACTTCAATGCAAAGAGTTATGCAGTGAGAATGAGGGGCTTCTCGAACAGAAGGGTCTCGCATGCCATACAAAGAGGAAATGTGCTCTCACCGAGACAGATGAAGGCAGCCTGGTAGCTGGTGAAGCCCATCCAGCAGACCAGCGCAGGCCGGGACGGTCTAATGCTCCTGTGGCAGTTATACACAGTAAAGATGTCTCCTCTGTACAGTCCCTTCAGATTAGACCTGAGGGAACACAGATACAGCGGCTGCAGAAATATAGGGAATAGGGGCGTCTCTTTATGAAGAGGAAACTGAGAAGGAATTGCAGGTCACAGAGTCAAACTGCCATTAATGACATTTAAAAACTCAATTTGAAAAGTCATTACTTTTTAATCTGCTATTCCTGACTGTAATTATCTCATTCTCATTAGAAAAGGATTTTTTCCCCCCTGTTTCACCTCCAGCTAGCTGTTATTCATAATAGAAGCAGTCAGTTATGATAAAGATCATTTTTTTCCCTATAATAACAAAATTAAAATTTTAAAATTAAAATAAAAACAGAATTTATATTTTCTGTTTTTATTTAAATTTTGTTGTGTTTTTGTCATGTTTTAAATGTCTATATGGTTCTTAATAAATAATTTTATTTCAGTTTTAGTTTTAGTTATTTTAGTATTTCAAGTTAAACAAAAAGAAAAAGACAAATGATTAAATATGTATTTTTAATAACTCTTTATTTCAGTTAACTTTTGTTTTATTTCAAGTAAAGATTGTTTTTAATGGTTTTAGTTTTAGTTTTAGATAACAATAATAACCCTGGAAGTGAAAAAAAAAAATGATAAAGACAATAAAATAAAATAATAAAACACATACATAATAAATAAACAGATACATTTTAATTAAAATATATTTAAAAATTGCTTTATTTTGTAAATGTAGTTTTTTTATTTTTTATTTTGTAAATTGCTTTATTTTGTAATGATTTTTTTTAAGGTTTTAGTTTTAGTTTTAATTTTAGGAAACAATAATAACCCTGGAAGGGAAACAAACAAACAAAGAAAAGATAAAAAGAAAAAGAATACATTTGAATTAAAATGTACAAAATAGGAAAATTAGGAAATTACAGTTATAGTACAACTGTTTCATTTTTTGCTAAAGAAATACATGTTTCTTTAGAATATTTAAAATCTAATTTCGGAAATACTTTTTATTTCTGTATTAATATGTGACTGTATCTGTTTAATACAAATTTGTTTTTGCATTTCAAAAGTTGTAATTAAGCGTTTTTATTATTTTATTAAATAATAGAACATAAAACATAAAAATCAAAAATAATTTATATATATAAAAATCAAATGAAACATCCATGCTGTGCTGTAAATCAATTAGCAATCATAAACACTATTTTGACATTAGAAACAACTGTAGTATTTTCTGTCCATTTCTCACTTCAAATCCTGTTTATAAAACTGACCTCGCAAACCCACTCCGCATAATAACCTGGGATATTAAAAAGTGTTTTAACATCTCAAATGCATGATCAGAGAATCAGTACGTGACATCTGCGTATCGGCATGCATGTGACAGTGGTGAAGCAGGTGAAGAGCAGTTTTAGCCGCTTTATCTGACTGAGTGTGTGGCTGTTAGTGTCACCTGTGCTGGACCATGGACCTCATGAGCATGAGCAGGTTGAGCAGGCAGGACAGGGTCACCGCTGACACATAGCAAACTGAAACACACACAATCACACGAGCCAGAAAGGTCACTGTCAGATGCACAAACACACTCTCACAGCCTCAGCACTTTTTCCCACTGACTGATTGGAAAACGAGTCCTGCTACAGTTCAGCGGTCGGCTTTGCTGACTGCTCCATTATTCATCTGCTGATTTACATGAGTATTTAAAGCTGAGTGAAAGTGGATGCGTGCGATTCGGGCTCTGCACTGATGCATGCAAACCTCCAGCAGTCTGAATCAACGCAAGCTCACATTTGCATAGCTTACATTAGCTTATCAGAGATCATCATTAAAGCTGATCTAGCCAACTGCACTGATCCAAATGACTCCATATTGACTTTCTTACTGTTATTACTCTATACTGAAATGGTTTACGTGTTGTTTATATGAATACCACCTTGAAGAAATATTTTAAAGCTAATCTCTAAGCCCACATATAATCTACACACGTTTTTGTGCTAATTATTGAGGAGAATCAGCAGATTTCAGTGTAATGGCTTTAAAAAAAAAGTATGAATCTGTTTAGGCTTATATTTACTGAATAATAAGACAAACCATTGAATAAATGCACACACAAGGAGATGGACCCGTGTGAAAAAGAATATTTTCGATATATATTTCTGTTTTTTAAATATAGAAATATACATATTGAATATATTGTATTTTCAATATATATATATATATATATATATATATACAGTATTTCTAAATTCTAATATTGTAAATATTCTGGGCAGATTTTCAAAAAGTGTAGTTACGGAAATAATATACTTTAAAAGAATATACTTAAGTCTGAACTGTATGTAATGTTTTCTGACACATAATTGTGTTATTTACAATTAAATAAAAATGTATTATAGTATGTTATACTATTTCAAATGTAATGAGTTGAACTTTAAAGTTATTTTTTGACCCACTTAAGTAGGACTTAAGCACATCTTTATGTGTAATTTCATAAATACTTATATTGTGTTTGAAATATGGTTAAAGTGTACAGCCGAATGAACTGACAAGCATTTATGGTCAACTAAAGTTGTTGTTTGTTTTTTTGTTGTTGCCATGTATTTACATATAATTGTATATTATATTTTATTATATAAAATTACAATTATGTATTTAAATATAATATAAATCTAATTACACATTTGTAACGATGAAGTTGCAGTTTAGTACAATTTAGTACATTTCAAATATATTTACTCAAATTATGTTAGTTAGTCAACACATCAAAATATGTGTACTTTAAAGCATACCAAAAAGTATTAAAACAATGATTTAAAACTTTAAATTATTACAAAGTGCACTTTCTAAGTGTGCTTAAGTGTGTTAAAAACAGTAATGTAAGCGTCTCTCTTTAAGTACAGCTTTTTAAAAAATATACTTTTAAGATTTGATACTTAAATATTTTGAAGAAGTACACTACAAGAGCACATTCAATACAATTAAGCACACTTTTTTTTTTTTTTTTTTTGGCGTTTGAATCGGACTGAATTTCTGGAGGCTTTTGTGGCCACAGATTAATGTGGGCCTAAGTTAGTGTGGCCACCGTCCCAAAAAATTGTGAGCTTTGTCCAGCATTCACTATATTTGGCAGACTGAATAGGACATGTACAGTAAATTACAGTGTAGGACTCGATTTTGGGCAAATTGAGTCCCGGTCACAGAGCCGGTCACAATTAACAAAGCTTATTGGCGATTTAAAATGTTATCATCTAAAATGGCAAATAGGCTTTCCAACTAACGTAAATCGAGATTTACATAGTATAACAATAGCAAAATTGATCTCTCTTAGACGTATTGCACATTGTCCCGTAAAATCACATCTATGTCCTGCAACAGAACAGCCTAAGTATAAGAAGTATGAGAATGGCAACTGACTCACTTTCCACACACCACAGATAGTAAACTACAATCCTGACCACCTCCTGACGGTCATCTGACAGGATGATATTGAAACCAGCCAACAGGAAGGCGATGTTTTCGTCCACTCCTCTACGGACGATGTGTAGGGTGGGCAGCACGCCTGAGACCAGTAAGAGCGCCATCTAAGACATTCAAAAGAATGGAAAATGCCTTGAAAAACTAACATGCTACTTTAGATAAAAGCACATTAATTAATACCTTTAGACCGAAATAACGCTAAAAAGGGCTTGTTTGTTCAAGCGTTTACCTGATAAAGAGCAATGAACGCCACAACCACAGAGATCGCTAGTTTCAAAGGGAACCTAAAAACTGATGGAAAAGAAATAAAATGACAGTAAATTAATACAAGCACTACCGTTTAAAAGTTTGGGGTTGGTAAGTCTCTTTTGCTCACTGCTTTTATTTGATCAAATCTACAGTAAAAATGTGAGATATTATTACTGTTTGAAAGGAACTGTTTTCTATTTCAATATATCTTAAAATGTCATTTATTTCTGTGATCAAAGCTGAATTTTCAGCATCATTACTCCAGTCTTCAGTGTCACATGATCCTTCAGAAATCATGCTAATATGCTGATTTGCTGCTCAAGAAATATTTATAATTATCAATAACAATATTTATTATCAATATCAGTTTTTTTTCTTGACTCTTTGATGAACAGAAAGTTTTAAAAGAACAGAATTTTCTAACTTGAGCAACTTTTGAAACGAAAAATTTCTTCACTGTAACTTTCCATCAATTTAATGCATCAATCCATGCTGAATAAAAGAACAAAAATATATAGATAAATAAATCGTACTGATCCCAAACTTTTGGAGGGTAGTGTAAATATATTTTTATCCACATTTTTCTTACCGTAAAAATGGGCGTGGCCATTTGTAAATTCTATGGGTCTAGCTTCCGGTCTCATCCGCGTCCAGCTATTTTTAGCTGGATAAATAAATCGTACTGATCCCAAACTTTTGGACGGTAGTGTAAATATATTTTTATCCACATTTTTCTTACCGTAAAAATGGGCGCGGCCATTTGTAAATTCTATGGGTCTAGCTTCCGGTCTCATCCGCGTCCAGCTATTTTTAGCTGTACAGAACCGCTCCTTTTGCTGCTTGATATTGAAAATTGGTGTGTCTTACCATATTATTTTAATGTATTATCTTAATTATGAACACACTGGTTTGTAGTGCAAACAGTTTTACCGTTTACTGCACGTTGTTATTCTTCTCGTTAGCGGCTAACGAACCGGAAGTCTAACCCATAGGCTTACCTCCGCGTTGAAGAAAAAACTGGATAAAATGGATAGTTCCAGTCCTTGATTCTGATTGGTTGAGCCACATTCGAAGCTGCTGTAAATTACTTTACAAAAATACACCTTTGTTTACGTTTGTCTGTTGCTTGGCAACCACTTTGTAGCAACCACAACTGTTTTTGAGGAACTACATTGTTTGGTGGAAGAATGGTTTTATTAATATCATTACATTTTCGCGTCGTGTCTAACAACGCCCCTTAGCTGTTATAAATTCACTGTAAACCACGGCCTCATGGGGCTTATTGCTTTATTGACATGTTAGTTTTTTTTACCATCCTCTGGTGTGTAGAAGTAAGACTTGGCAGCATCTCGGAGTCTTTCAAACAGTTTGGGTTTTGATGCGCTGGAACTGCAACCGCAAGAGATAACAGCCATAAACAACAAGAAGAAACATCATTTAATATAATGTTAAAGATAATAGCCCTTCATTTTCTTTCAAATGCACAATTAGACATTTAGTAGATGCTTTTCTCTAAAGTCATTTACAGTATATTATAAAGTCGCCCTTTACACAATGGCTTTTAATGGGATTCGAACCTGCAACCTTTGGACAACCAGTCTAAACCTGCAACCTCATGGTCTCTTGATATTTGACTGGCATATCTGAAGTTTATCGATATATGCCTTATACCTTCCTACATCTGCCACTCTTATCAAGGGATATTTCCCTTCATTAGGTTGTGTTCCTATGTAGACTATATCCTACTGACACAAAGGAGTTTCCACGTAACAAGACACGTTCCCTCACATGGCTCACAGGACTATATTCAATGACATTTCAGACACTCAGTATATTTTTGCATAAAGAAGATCAGCATCTGTACAGTACAGACAGACTGAATGGCATTAGTTCACAATTCAGACTCACTATCTACCAATCTTTGCATAAGTGAATTTACAGTAGGTGTGATTCACCTCCTGTCAATGGAAATGAGGAAGGAACTAGTCTATAGACAATATCTCATCTGCCTGTCTATTGTACAGTGGACTGATTGCTATAATAGAAAGTACCTTACCTTTCCTTTCGTTCATTGCAATTGGAATCCATTCCATTACCAAAACGGTTTAACAAGATTAGTTCACATTGCAGTATGACAAGCACTTCCCATTAATAAGCTACCAAATAGGGCCTGAAATGTTTCATTTTAGTATTTTTTTAATTTTTAATATTTATAGAATTTATTTAGTATTTATAGTATTTTTTATTCGTTCTTTGGGGTTTGAAAAGCCTAATTTATCGTATAATAAAATGTATTAAAAACAATTAACATTTAAAATGGATAACATTGATGAAACATGTTGTAAATTAGAAGTTTTTAAACGTGTGACCAGTGGAGCCAACATAAAAACATTTGCAAAAATTCATTCATTTACTTTTCTTTGTACAATCATGTTGTACAAAGGGTCCATATGATCACCATCAGCTCTCTGTGAATGTCTTATTATGGGTTAGTAGTATAATTTCTGCTGTTTTAAGCTTCTCGAACCTTTGGGTTAATAAATAAGGGTGTCCACGTAAGTGTGCATCACCTGATTTTGGTGGGCTTTTTCTTCTTGAGAATCTTCTTCACATAGTCTCGATAATAACTGCTACTGAGGTCCTGCAAGAAAGTTAAAATAATAATAATAATAAAAAATTACACCAAATCTTCTCAAAATTAAAAACAGTGACTATCATGTAGTGTGACTTGACACAAACTTTGCTTGTCTGAATTATAGATAGTTTTGTTCATTATAAAAAAAAAGATCTAGAATTGTCACATCGTTTACTCGCAGTTTAGATGTGTTATGAAGGGATCGCTCCTCTTATTTCAACCAAATGTATTCGTCATAGCGATTATAGCTGAATAACACTGGCATTGTCTATTTCCTATGGGAAAACAACACACTGTTTGTGTAATGTGCTCTGCGAGTCAAACATAACCCAATCCCACTGAGCTGCTTACAATGATTAGAGCTCTGGAATGCAGCTGCCGAGTTTACAAACTCTCCTCTTGCCTTTCCATGCTCCTAAGTCCCTTCATTATGAATTAACACATAACTGGTGGGTCGTGGCCCAAAAATGGGTCACAGGTCTGTTGTAACACGGTCGTCTACAGTACATTAGGGGAAAAACAATGCTAAATACAAATGGATCAATGGCAAATAAGAGCATGCATGATAAAGAAAACCAAAAATATTTTAAAAACTAGTTTAAAACGCATGTCAAGTATTCATGGTTTAATGCGGCTTTCAAAACTTTAATACCATGTTCAAGAAAAGTTCTAATCTAATGACCAAGTAAAAATTAATAACATTTTCTTTACACCTTGACATGTGAATGTAGTACACATATTAATTATTTTAAAGCTTTATACGTTTTTAAATTTATTTTTCAAGGTACAAATATTATGAATTATTAATTCACAAATAATAATTTTTGAGGGAGCTGAACATCATTGAACATGATGAACACATAATTATTTTACAACCTGAACCAACCTTGTTTTTCAAATATTAATTAGCATTAAAGCAGTTACATTAAAGAAATAATAATATTTTAAAGCTTTATACGTTTTTAAATGTATTTTTCAAGGTACAAATATTATGAATTATTAATTCACAAATAATCATTTTTGAGGGAGCTGAACATCATTGAACATGATGAACACATAATTATTTTACAACCTGAACCAACCTTGTTTTTCAAATATTAATTAGCATTAAAGCAGTTACATTAAAGAAATAATAATAAAAGATTATGCCTTAATTAGATTAGATTATGCAAGAATTTCATCCTTTAAACATATATTTCTCTACATTAATCTTTCATATATTATCTATTTATTTATTATGATATCAGAACATCAGAAACATTGGTTACAAATATCATGAACTATTAATTCATCCTTTTCATTCATTTTTGGGGGAGCTGACATCTCACAACCTGAACTAACCTTTCAAATATTAATAAGTGAAGCAGTTGTGCAGTCTTATATATCTAAATATACATACATACATGCGTGGGTCAAAGAAGAGACGTTCCATTTTGGTGTTTGCATATATTATATATAATATTTTATATACATAGAAAGCATATTAAATGCAAGTAAAGTGTGTACTTTAAATAATGAAATAATGTTTCGTCATGCAGTGTAACAGATATATTTATGCAAAAATGAATCATCATACTTACTCTGACCTGTGCTTATTAAAACATATAAAAGAAAAAGTGATCATACTAAGTTTTATTACAACTGATTAAAAGCTTATTGCTGACAAATGGGTAAAAACCTAGTGGTTTAAAGGATAGTGGAAAAGATTATTAAACTGTTTTTAAATAAACTATCAAACTTTTTGATGCTTGAAACCCCCTATTAGTCTTTTTTTTAAGAATTTGATCTTTTAATATAGCTTTTTTCCCCCTTTATTACACAATCAGGACAGTTGTATCATCTTGACAGTCTCACCTCAGAGGCGTTGCTTGTCTCTGTGTTCTGTAAGCCTTTGAACAGAAGCAGCGGATACTGGAAACTAAGAAAAGCCAGACAGGCAATCTGAGGAAGGCTGTTGAACAGGGCATAGTACTTATAGATCTGCAGACAAGGAGAAAAACAGACAAATCAATATCAAATAACATCAAATGTTTGCAGTGGCTTGTCTGGCTGTATTCCTGCCAGCCATATTCAATGCAAATCAATCATGAAATTTCACTCAGAATTTACATTACAAACCTAACAAGGCTTTCTTTATTAAGTCCTAAAAATAACTAAATGGCTTTCAGCATGAATCCAGTCAGCCAGTTTGTTCCTTTTGTTTTCTTGCTAGTGTGCAAAATCCATGAAGCAGGCAGTACAATCAAACTAAACTAGAATGTTTTATTTGATTGTGTATTTTGTGTAACATTGTACTTTTTCTATAGTTCTGACAGAATCTAAAGTGATTAACTGAAGCAAAGCACCATAGTGAGATCCTGAGAAGCAGAACAAATTGTTTTGAGGTTTGACCATTCATTTAGCAGATGTGAGGACAATGGGAACAAAACGGAGGACTGATGGGATTAGGGTAATGAACAGAAGAATCTGAAAGTCTCATTCAAAGTGGGAAAGTATGCTTATATTTTACAGGTGATGTTTTAGATCCATATATCCATGGTAAGTCGTACCTGTGGCGTTTTGGGACAGTCCACCTTCTGCCAGACCAGAACTCCAAAGTGTGTCCACGACAGCAGGCTGCCCAAGACGTAACCCACCTTGTTATGCAGCGTCCCGCAGGCCAGAAGAGGGTAGTACAATGCGGGGTAGTACAACAGAGCCAGGATCAGCCAGAGCTCTACAGACATAAAGAACAGAATAATAAACATCTCTGTGCTCTCAAACTGGATCTAACCTAAAAGAGCACAGTACTGTCTATATTTGCTTATAAATAGTGATGCGGCCCAGTGGTTAAAGGAGGCTGGGAGTCGAAAGGTTGTAAGTTCAAACCCTTAATGGTGCAATCTGATGTGATCTTGAGCAAGACACTTATATGAATAAATCACCCAAAAAACTAAATTTTGAGTGTAAATTGATTTCGATTTGGGCCTGTTTCTTATTTAAAAATATTGAATGGCTTCAGAATAATTGGAATATTGTGTAAAAATCATATGGACTTCTTTTTTTTTTTTTTAAGGACTTTCTTTTTTTTAAGATGATTTTTACTACCAATAATCAAAATGCAGAACTGATTATAAATTATATAAGCCCCCCCTAACTGTTCAATAATAATGGTGCTTTTTTTAGCCTGACACTCTTGAGTCTCTATTTGCTTTCATAATTCTTTAGCATTCCTTCTTTTATTTTCAACGCACAAAATTTCATTTTAGGTGCACTTTTTTGTGTTATCCTCTGATTGCAGATTTGCAGGATTGTCCCTGAAGTGTACTCTAAGTTACTTTGAGTAAAATGCTTGCTACTTGACCATATGGATTTTTAAACTATGGAAAGAACAAAAAAGGTCATATGATCCAGAATGAGGAGAATAACAATAGTGACCCATCAACACTAACAGACTTGTGCGTCAAAATTAACTTATTAAAGCACCAAACAGTTACATAATGCAAACACAGCCTTGTCTGAGGCCCTGTTTGCTAAAGAAACAAAAAATGCAGCCAATAATCCAATTACAAAACCCAACTAAGAAGGACTAGCAGTTCAGAGGAAGAAAAAAAAAGATCAGGTAGGGTGCTACTTTTCATCCTCTTGTGTGAACTGAGCCTAGTTTGGATAGTTGCCATCTTGTGAATAGAGAGAGTGTTCATTTGATAGCACCAGTGAAGGGTGAGCCACTATACCCTGTGAGATACCCCTCCAAACTGGCTAAATTCCCACTCTTTGGTGGCCCGAAGTCTTTGATTTACATTATGGTAGAAAAGAATGTGTTTTTTTTATCTATAAAGAACTGAATCTTTACAACATTGCCATAATTATCGTCCTTGACCAACTGGGGTTAAGTGTACAATGATGGCGACTCAAGGTTTGTTCCTTGCGGAAATCGAACCAGCAACCTTCTGTTTGCTAGTCCTGAGTCTTAACCACTAGACCACATAAAAAATGAAGCATAAAAACTGAATATAATCACACTATAAATGCATTTCACCACTCCATGAAGCAAGAAATCTAGTCACCGTGCCTTTGTTCACGACGTCTTTAGTGAAAGGAAGTGGATGGTGACTGAGGACCATTGCAAGCAGCTTGCAGAAGAGAACGCCGTACACAGCTACGGCAAGGCCCTTGTGTTGTGTGTGGTCTAAAAAGTTTACTGGGCTGAAGAAAAGAACAGAAAAAACAATTATAAATAACTAGAAAATGAATATGAGAGTGGTTTTGGCCATGCAAAAATCACTGTCATGATGTGAAACTGGCAAAGGAGCTGCTACATAGTGGCTAAAGTGTTGTGAGATTGATTTTTAGCATGTTGCCATGAGGTTCTGGGTGATGTCAAACTGACCTGAGTAAACCTGTAAGTCCCCTCTGATTGTCACCCAGCTTCTTTCGTCTGGCCAGGATGGCGAGAACCAGCATGACCACCAGCTTTGGACATAAAGAGAGGACAATTTGCCAGTATTACAACCTCCCTGACTTCCTCTAAAGGCCCAGCAGAGGCTGGTGCAGCTGGGACTTTGACCCTTTATTAACCCCTTCGGCTTCACAGATTCTCGGTTCAAATGAAACCACAGACCCCTATGAAACAAGGGCAGAACCCATTTCCAAAGACGCTGCCTCTGTTTCTGGTAAGCCTGAGATCAGTGACCTGCAGTGACCTGCAGTGACCTGTAACACTTTTAGGAGGCGTCATGGTCAAAGGTGACATCTGAGTCCACATGGGTCCATCATAGTCAATTAGCATGTGGCTTTTTGTATAAATATCAAAGAAAGGAAAGGACCAGGAAGTCAGTGGGAAGTCTGGGAGTTACAAGATGAGTGATAACAAATGAGTGTGTTTGAAATGTTTTTCAAACTTTTTATACAAAATTACTATGACAGTACCATGATATCTGGTGGACATACTATGGTATTTTGCAGTGGTCATTATAGTTAACTAAAACTAAAACCATAAACCCCCCAAAACTTTAATTACTTCAAATAAAATAACCTTTAACAGAAATAAAATATTTCAAAAATTATTTTATTTCACCTAGTTGCCAAGTCAACTAAAACGTACATACAAATTAATAAAAGAAATATATAGACATACAAAAAACCGAATACAACTACGAAATTTTAAAACTGACTAAAATTATAATGAAAAAAGAAAATATAAAAATAAAAACAAATTCAAAATATTACTAAAAACTATAATAGTATATCAATGATACTAAAATAACACTGGGATCCGTAGATATTGCTATGAGATTTTTCCACGTCTTAAAATAAAAATTAAGATATATAATAATAATAACAATAATAAACATAAAAACACATAATTAATTATTCATTTTATATTTATTTATTTATTTAATCATCCAAAATATATATATTTTTTTGTAACAAATTATTTACTAATTCAAAACAATTTGAAAACAGAAACAGTTTATTATCTATTGACATGGCTATTTCTAGATTTTGACCCAAAGGTGCTTCTTAAAATATCCAAATACTGTCTATCACTAGTACTTTGATATATACCATGGTACTGACTGATTTCAATATTCCAAGAATTCCAAGGTACTAAATTCTGGACAAGGCAATACAAAGAAAGAACAGAAGATAAAGACAGAAAAAAGAAAATTGAGAACATAAAGAAACCAGTATGTTTCATCAGAAGGGAACTCACAGATATTGCAGCAATGCATATGTGGAAGAGGCCTTCATCAGCTGTGGGGTCACATGGTGGGATAACTCTGAAAATTTCACAAACACAGAGTATTTATCATAAGCTGGTGCGATCCAGGCCGATTACTCAGCCTGCATGCGCTCCCTTCCTCCCCTCCGTTCCCAAGCAATAGACCATTACTAACAAGAGCATGTCTACTGAACCTCTTCAAGTGCAGATTATTCATTTAAACCCATTGTTGTAGGTAATCTGACTGACGTGAAATGCCAGCACACGACCCCACTCACACTTCTGAGTAAACTGAAATGCTGAGATGGACTTACGGCAACTAAAGGCCATGGTAACAGAAACTCAGAGATGAGTGAATAGATCCTGATTGTGTTTGGCATAAGGAAGTCTTGGACGAGGCATGTGACGCATTGAAGTAACCCTAGATTCACAGTTTGGTGTTTTGTTACCTAAAATCCAGCCGAAAAGTCTCTTGCATATGTGAAAAGAATCAAAGATGAGATCAAAGTCAAAAAATCTCATCACTTTCAGCAGAAATATAATCAGATATGTTTGCACACCTGTAGACATGGAACCATATAAATGCTTTGGGTAGTGCATTATGGGATGGCAACAGACTAAATGACGAGCAGCAATACAGATAATATCTAATGAATATCTGCTGACCTTAACCATGTTATCTAGCTGAAATCACAGAAGTTAATGTCTAAATCCAGAGAACCCATGAATGCACACTTACCATGTAATTTGTTTTTTAATGAAATGAAAATTGTAACAATATAAATGCACATTTTAAATATATAATTTTCCATTTTTAAATATATTTTATACATGTGTGCATGTAAGCTGACACATTTAAATATATAAACTATAAAATTAATTATAAAAACTAAATATCACTATACACTATATAACTATATACAGTATAATTATAATATATAATGTGCAGCTACTTATTAAAAATAGCATAAAAGTGTATATATATATATATATATATATATATATAT